TTTTCAAAATATGCTATATGGGTATCCTTTTCGAGGTATTTGGGGATGCTCATTACGAATATGGCACTCATTTCTAAATCCAAGATGGCGGACACGAGTTTTCAAATAAATGCAATATGGGTATCATTTTCGAGGTACTTGGGGGTGCTCATGACGAATATGGCACTCATTTCTAAATCCAAGATGGCGGGCACGATTTTTTCAAAAAAATGCTATGTGGGTATCATTTTCGAGGTATTTGGGGATGTTCAATGTGAATATGGCACTATTTGTAAATCCAAGATGGCGGGCACGATTATTCAAATAATGGCAAGTTGGGTATCGTTTTCGAGGTATTTGGGGGTGCTCATTACGAATATTGCTTTTGTTTGAACTGTCGTGTTTGCCATCTTGGATTTAGAAATGAGTGCCATATTTGTATTGAACATTCCCAAACATCTCGAAAACGATACCCAACTTGCCATTATTCGAAAAATCGCGCCCGTCATCTTGGATTTAGAAGTAAGTGCCATATTCGAAACCTAAAACCGAAAATGCCATAAGCAAACATTAAAGAAAATAACTGTTAAAATAGATTAAAAAATCGCTTAAGAATGCTCCCCTTTTAAGAAAATAAAATATTTCAATATAAAATATTTCGCTTGAGTTACGAAAAGAAAGACATATAATAAGCTATCAAAGTTGTACTGGTGGTGCCAACACTATAGTAGAAACAAATATATACTGTAAATTTATTGCAATAGGTGCTCCAATTCAAATAAAATTTAAATAAATAATTATTCAATAAAGCATGAACGCAGAGCCGTTAAAAGTATTATAAAATAATTAAGTGTCCCAATCACTTACAGGAGTTAACGAAAACATTTAATGTTTATTCAAGTAAATATTAGTTCAAGATGCGCAAATAAATCGAAATTACAGGCACCACTAAAATTTACGTAATATAATTATTTTGAAACAGAATAGCAAAATGGGGAGAAAAAAAATTCGTTACTTTGCAACACTTTCGTATCTTGTTGCCGCGAAATTATTTTTCTGTTTTAGTGAATATTTACATAAAAATATGAGTTGAAACGCATTACTTACTTGTGGAATGCGATGTTAGTGTCTATTTTGTTTGTCTGTTGTATTTTTACACCCATTTACCGCACATTTCGTCATTTTTAGCAAAAAATTTTGGAGCCGCTCTAGAGTGAAGGGTCTGTACAGTTGCACTGCACTGATTTGGTTGATCTCGGGGCTCCCTTGTTGTTGCGCTGGGAACCTAGATGCGGAGGGTAGCGGGATCCGAAGCACGGTGCTCCGCTGGCCGACCGCAGGTAGTAGGGGGCCCAATTAGCTGACTAGCCTCCAGTGAAAGGCTGCCCCGCCAACTCGCGAAAAATCCCGGGGTGCTCCATCGTGCCGGTTGGCGACCGGATGAAAGGACCCGATGGCCACTCCCGGGGGGGTTCGGGCGTCCCCGCGCGCTCCAGTCTAGTTTCCCATCGGCGTACCATATAGGGTATGTGCCGCATGACTTTCAGTGGTAGTGTCTCGTACAACTGCCTTCGCTCTCCCCATTCACTCTAACCCTAATATGAAAAGGTCAAGAAAATTGAGGAAGGCTAAACAGCGGATGCACGTCCTTTCACTTAAAGTGCACCTCTCGAACATCCGAGGTCTGCACTCCAATCTCTCATCTGTCCACCACCATCTTGAGACTGAAAGGCCTCACATGCTCTTCCTCACGGAGACCCAAATTAGATGTCCTTCGGACACGGCGTATCTGCATTACCCAGGTTACATTCTGGAGCACAAATTTAAGCAGCGCGCTGGTACCTGCGTTTACGCTCGTGATGACATCTGCTCTAAACGTCTCCGTGACCTTGAAGACCCCGATCTCTCTGTAATGTGGGTTCTGGTAGACACTGGACTGGAACAAATTGTCTACGCCAGTGTGTATCGGTCGCATTCTGGAGACCCGGAGACGACTAGGCTGTTCAACCATCTCTGCAGCTCGGCGGAAACAGTCCAACAACGGTATCCTAAAGCACAACTTGTCTTTTTGGGGGACTTCAATGCCCATCACCAGGAATGGTTGTTCCCATACCAAAAAACCGACCACGCTGGAAGAGAGGCGCGGGCATGTGCTCTATCGCTAGACCTCACCCAGCTGGTGAGTTGCGCTACCAGGGTACCGGACGTTGACGACCACACTGCCAATTGCCTGGATCTTCTGCTGACAACCGATCCAGACCGCTACCAAGTATCGGTCTCATCCCCACTAGGGACATCCGATCACTGTCTGGTGAAATCTGTATCTGCATACTCCCCGCCCGATCTCAGTACGGGAAGTACTAGGAGGATGTGGCGATACAAGTCAGCAGATTGGGATGCGATGCGGCATTTCTTTGCATCTTATCCCTGGCGGCAGCTGTGCTTCTCTTCTGACGATCCGACGTGCTGCGCGTCTGCCGTCTCTGAGGTGATTATTCGGGCTATGGAATACTTTATTCCGTATTTCGAAGTCTCCTCCAGCGGCAAAGCTCGCCCTTGGTTTAACGCTGAGTGTGCTTCTGCGGAAACGCTAAAGCAATCTGCGTACCAGGCTTGGGCTGATGCTCGAGATCGCAAAGCACCGGAAACCCTCCGTCTGAAGAAAGCCTTTAATAAAGCCGCTAGATCCTGCAAAAAAGCGATACGGAAAGCTCGCTTCGGCCATATTAGTCGTATTGGGGTCAGGTTAGCTTCATACCCATCAGGGAGTAAAGCATTCTGGTCACTCGCTAAATCGGTCGAAGCGAATTTCTGCAGGTCATCCCTTCCGCCTTTAATGAGAGATGACGGATCGCTGGCTCATACCGCTGAAGAGAAAGCAAATCTTTTTGTTTCTCTTTTTGCTTCCAACTCCCGTCTTGACGCTACTTTGCAAACACCACCTACACTACCTCGATGTGACTCGGAAATGCCCGAAATCACTATCCGTCAAAAAGAGGTGTTGAAAGCTTTACGCAAATTAGACGTCAACAAAGCCAGTGGCCCTGACGGAGTCCCAGCGATTGTCCTGCGGAACTGTGCACCCGAGTTGTCTCCGGTGTTGACTCGCCTGTATCGCCTCTCTATGAGTTCTGGACAAGTCCCGAAATCCTGGAAGCTTGCAAATGTACAGCCTGTACCTAAGAAAGGTAGCCATGCCGACCCATCTAATTATCGACCTATCGCAATCACCTCCATACTCTGTAAGACTATGGAGCGTGTATTGAACAGCCGTCTCCTTGGATACCTCGAAGATAACGATCTCCTCAGTGATCGACAATATGGTTTTCGCCGTGGACGATCTACTGGGGATCTTCTTGCGTACGCCACACATTTATGGAGCGAGGCTGTCGAGAAACGCGGTGAATCGCTTGCCGTGTCTCTCGACATATCAAAGGCCTTTGATAGGGTTTGGCATGATAGCCTGTTAAACAAGCTTCCAGCTTACGGAATTCCTGTTGGCTTTTGCACATGGATAGGCGATTTTCTGAAGGATAGGTCAATCCGTGTAGTTGTAGATGGTTACTCGTCTGCTCCTCATGGTATAAATGCCGGTGTACCTCAGGGATCTGTCCTCTCCGCCACTCTATTCTTGCTGCATATCAACGACCTGCTGCTGATGCCCGGTATCTTTGGGTACGCAGACGACAGCACAGTGGCGGTGAGTTATGTGCCAGACGCCCGAGACAACAGCGAAGAGATCCGGTGTAAGCGAGAGGCGATGGTCACCCGGTTGAACCTGAGTCTGAAAGCTGCTTCCGACTGGGGAGATGCTAACAGGGTCAGGTTTAATGCGGCTAAAACACAGGCGTGTCTTTTCTCATCAAAACGGAGTCCCCTACACCTTACTCCGACTTTCCGAGGTGTATCCGTGCCGATAAGGGACCACCTTGAGCTACTTGGTCTGGACTTATCATCCAACCTCAACTTTGGGCGATACATCGAGTGCT